TGGTAGAGCCATGCTGCAGCTATATTAGTAGTATAGTTGTAGCACGAATATATCGGCTCGACCGGGGAAGGACCACGCTCTCCCAGAAAACCAGCGTAAAATAGCAACTTAACGGTGCTGTGTTTCGTACGGTGAGTGTAGAGAACCGGAGACCCTTTTTACTGGCAAAGAGGCATTCCATCTTAGTCCTCACGGGTGACAACGCATCCGCATCTTGAGTCTTTATTGAGGATAGATGTAGATGTCTATGGGTCACAGTAACCACTTACCATCAGGTGGACTGTGTGCTCGTTTGTCACCCTATCCTATAAAAAAATGAGCCAGATCTTAGAGAGGTAATAATAGTGAAGTCTCTGTTAAATTAACTTACACAACTACAACTTACATACATATTTAACTTTAGTAAAAATGGATAAAAATAAATTTACATAATTATAGTACCTACAGTTTTTTAACCAAAAAAAAAAATAATTAAAATATTATTCTGAGTTTATCACAAACTTTATAAGGACACATTTTAATAAAAGAATTAATTATTAATTAATCATTGTGAATTCATTATTTAAGCTCAGACGTTTAAACTGATTGATTAAAAGCCTAGCTACCTTCCTCAATTATTAATGGAAGTCATCAGCACCACGTCCAAAGATCAAGTAAGGTAGACAACTATTAAATGTATGCAACGTATCGCTCTAAGTCGTCGCAATTAAACAAAATGTTTCCTCAGTGACGTTTGTTTGTGCTAAAATGTCAGAACGTTATTATACTTTTTAAACTTTAAATGTATAACAAACATAATATTATGTAATACTCGATTGTAAGAGGAGAGCCGTGATAGCTCAGATGGTTAGCGCTCGCTGTAAGTTTCACAGTACGCGAGCAACCCGGGGACGATCCCCGCCGGCACCAATGAAATTGTTAATTGCAATTTGAAGTGCTAATTGAACACGTGCTCGGCGGTGAAAGAAAACATTGTGAGGAAACCTGCATGTCTGAGAAATAAAAATAAATATATCTCGAAGACATGTGAAGTTCGCCAACACGCATTGGGGCAGCGCGGTGGGAATTTGCTTACCCTAAAACCCTCTCAGAAATTAGAGGAGGCTTGTGCCCAGCAGAGGGACGTATATATAGGCTGCAACTTTAAGAGGTCACTTGTAAGCTTGTAACCGTACGTTGCAAACTTCAAATAATTAAAAAGAATAAAATAATTTCACATTCTGAGAAGTTAGCGCTGAAGACTTATTGTTAAAATAATAATAATTTAAAATTATAAATTTTGTACTGCCGACTTCGATATAAGTTATTAAGAATAACTCAAAAACTATTGGTCTGACCTTGATCAAATTCATATGGGACCACACGAGAAGTACCAGCTTTCAAATAAAACAGAATCATCGATATCGGTTCAGCCAGTAAAAAGTTATGAGGTAACACACATAAAAAAAAAACATACAGTCGAATTGAGTACCGTCTCCTTTTTGGAAGTCGGCAGAAGAATTATAGCCCGACTCCAGATTGAGAAATTATGTTATTCTTTTGTTTGAAGTCGAGTTTTACTTTTTATTAAGTCTTTTTTCCTTACTGGACTAAGGAATAACATAATCTAAATGTCGCCTAAATAGTTCCATTAAAATCTTCATCCCTATTTTGCCACCCTTAGCGGTGGAATTTTTTCTCTAAATTTATATGAGACTACTCCACAAGTATAACCTATTTAATAAAAAAAGAATCTTCAAAATCTGTTCACAATTGACTTAGACATAGCGAAACATACGTACAATAATTTAAAATTAAAAATTTTGTACAGCCGACTTCAATATAGGTCATTTAAGAATAACTCAATAACCATTGGTCTGACCTTGATCAAATTCATATGGGACTACACGAGAACTATCAGCTTTCATATAAAAAAAGAATCATCGAAATCGGTTCGCCCAGTACAAAGTTATGAGGTAACACACATAAAAAAAACATACAGTCGAATTGAGTACCGTCTCCTTTTTGGAAGTCGGCAGAAAAATACAGTCGAATAGTTAACCTTCTCCTTTTTTTTAAGTCGGCTAAAAATCTATACAGCTCAAATGTAAGTACGAGCGTCAACATTGACAGCGATGATACTGTATAATGTATAAAAAAAACAAACAAAGGTGTGATAAATAAGATTGGCTGATTGATGATGAATGATATAAAAAGTCCTGTAACAAGATATTCGTAGAGAAAAGAGACTAACCTCGACGTGATGCAACGAATGACTTATCGTACGTATTAAGAATGTTGCCATTAGAGGGTCGCTATTTCACAGCAATGTTCTTTACAAGAGCACGATCACATTACTATACTTAACTTACATAAGAGCTTAAAACCGGTAAGGACGTACTTGTTTCACAACACCGTGCGAACAGGGCAACGTCTTTGTTTTGCAGCAAATATCGGTGACATCGAGCGCAATTTGAAATCGAAATAGAGCTGACGAATCAGTAAACAATATTTAAAAGCACAAGGTACATAATAAAACTAAAAAAGTAAACACCTTTTTTGAAATAACATTTTACAATAAGAACAAGATAAATAAAATGCCAGCAGTTATCGATGTGATTGACCTATAATCACTAGTTACCATGTTTTAATATTTTGGATGTTGATTCATAGACAAAAACAATCCATTATCAATGGCGGACAGACATTTTATCTACATTGATGTTTAACAGAAATGGCAATGGTTTCCCTTCACTTTGGCTTTTGATTGTAAAGAACATCGAGGTATGGACCGAGAACATCAGGTCACGATACCAAACAATAAGAAATACGCTATAAGTAAAAGGCACAACGAAATACAAACGCCTTGAGACGGATTCTAGTAGAGGAAGAAGATTAGTTTTAAAAGTAATAAATAGTGTTAAAACAAGATAATTATAATACTTCACTAAAAACATAGTACTACTTGTACTATTATCTATTCTGAGATAATACGCAAAAACTTAAACATCTTCTTTTTATAGAATATGGGTGACAAACGAGCACACAGTCCACCTGATGGTAAGTGGTTGCTGTGGCCCATAGACATCTACATTTATCCTCGATTAAGAATCAAAATATAGAGGCGTTGTCACCCCAGAGGACTAAGATGGAATGCTTTGTTTCCAGTAAAAAGGGTGTCCTGTTCTACACTCACCATACGAAACACAGCAGCATTAAGCTACTATTTCCGAACCATTCGTGCTACAACGGTATACGTATAAATATAATATATATACCTAGTCAGGTCATAAGTATTGTCACACAGTAAAAACTTTTCTTTTAGAATGCTGGCCACAAAAAAGTTTATTGAATTCGAATTTCGAATTGTTCGTGAAAATAAAACTGTATACTTTTTAGAATTTTACTCATTTTTAAATATGGAGTGGTCGCTTAAAGAAGACCGTGTTGCAGTTATTGCGTTGCATCGTTGCGGTTACGCGCCAATTCAAATTTTTGACATACTGAAAAATTTGAATATAACCAAAAGATTCGTTTATCGTACCATCAAACGATACAATGAAGACTCTAGTGTAGATGACAGGTCAAGAAGTGGTCGCCCTCGGTCTGTTAGGACTCCAGCAGTGATAAAAGCTGTGAAGGCGCGAATTCAAAGAAATCCCAAACGTAAGCAGAAACTGTTGGCCCTTCAGATGGGGTTAAGCAGAACCACGGTGAAAAAGGTGTTAAATGAAGACTTAGGGCTTCGGGCATATCGAAGAAAAACAGGACATCGTTTGAATGCTCGTCTAATGGACCTGAGACTGAAGAGATGCCGCGCTTTGTTGAAGCGGTACGCGGGAAAAAAATATCGGGAAATTCTTTTTTCGGATGAAAAAATTTTTACCGTAGAAGAGAGCTACAACAAACAAAATGATAAGGTGTACGCAGTAGTGAAGAAGCGAGCAACCGTATTCCGCGTGTCCAACAAGGTCATTTTCCATCCTCGCTCATGGTATGGTTGGGAGTTTCTTATTGGGGCTTAACAGAGGTACATTTTTGTGAGAAAGGTGTGAAAACGAATGCAGTTGTGTATCAAAATACAGTCCTGACGAACCTTGTGGAACCTGTTTCACATACCATGTTCAATAACAGGCACTGGGTATTCCAACAAGATTCGGCGCCAGCTCATAGAGCGGCGCGTGAAATTGACTTCATCCGGCACGAAGACTGGCCCTCCTCCAGTTCAGATTTGAATCCGTTAGATTACAAGATATGGCAACACTTGGAGGAAAAGGCGTGCTCAAAGCCTCATCCCAATTTGGAATCACTCAAGACATCCTTGATTAAGGCAGCCGCCGATATTGACATAGACCTCGTTCGTACTGCGATAGACGACTGGCCGCGCAGATTGAAGGCCTGTATTCAAAATCACGGAGGTCATTTTGAATAAACTTTAGTGTCATAAGAATCTATGTTTTGTTAAGTTCATTTTGGTATATAAATGGTTACATAATGAATAAACTTGTTTCAATTATTTTATATTAAACATGTGACAGAATTTATGACCTGACTAGGTATATATATATATATATGTGTATATATATATATATATATATATATATATATATATATATATATAAATATAATAAGTGGAGTAATTTTTTAATATAAAGTAAAAACATTTGTCAAAATTAACTTTATTAGAAATTCATGGTAGGGTTCCATTCATTGATTTAAAGAGAGTTTATCACATATCACTTTATCATAACAAGTCCATCCGGATATAAGTAATTCATGGCGTAACGTAAATATAATTTTGAAGTAACTTTCGTAACGAATGCAGATTATAGTGAAACAGCTTTTTAATAAAATTATATTTACGTAAGATAATTATTGTACCAAGTTTGGTTTAAATATTTTTGAACGTTGATTTACGTAATAAGCTAAATTACGATGTTATTGCTGGCTGGCTGTTTCAGTTTCAATCTATATTCGATAACAGACAGACAGTTCATCACATAGCACTTTGTTTTTTTTTTACTATTATAAGCCAGTGCTTGTCTATCCCACCAGATACTAAGTAGTGAAGCAGCGGCAGATGGTAAAGTGCACCGACATACCATGTTTCTCTTGAGTCTTGCATTCACGGGACTAAATGTGATAATGAATATCTGAAGCCGCCACCACTCTCTAGCAAACTATACCAATGTTAGAGAACTTAGTAGAATACATTATTAGATGTTCATTAAAAGTAGACATGTAACCTAGTTTAAAGACTGAAGGAATAGCAGCAACGAGCAACGCTGTTTAGTATGGCGAGAGACGAGAACCAGAGACGCTTTTTACTGGTACGTGATATTCCATCTGTAGTCATCAATGGGACCAACGCATCTGCGTTTCGATTCTTAATTGAGGATAAATGCGGGCGTTTATAGGCCACAGCATCCATTCTACCATCAAGTGAATTGTGTGCTCGTTTAGGCAGTCAGTGTGTCTTTTACTTCTATAAAAAAAGATAATTACTAAATCGTAGAATCCCAGTAGCAATTTTGACCCAGGAAACCTAACGGCTAGTTTATAGACCTGTATTCAAGTCATTGAATACGAATAGTTTCTTAACTCCAGATAATGATGTTTTTATTAAGTTATTTAAATGAAAAATTTATTGACCGATTGTAATAACATACATATATACATAATACATATACATATACATAAACACTCACGCCTGTCACCCAGAGGGGTAGGCAGAGATTATGGACTTCCATTTGGCACGATCCTGACACACCTCTCTCGCTTCCTCCACATCCATATACCTACGCATACACGCTCGTCGGTTAAAGGTACTCTTGATTTGGCCCATTTTTAATATATCGCCAATTTGGTCGATAAACTTTCGCCTAGGGCGACCCTTCCCGACTATGCCGTTCACCTCTGCAACATAAATTTGCTTTGTCACTCTTTCCTCATTCATTCTTTCTACATGGCCAAACCACCGAAGCATTCCTTTCTTAATCCTGGTCACAACATCATCTTGCAAACCACACTCTTCTCTTATTAAACAATTTCTCACTCTGTCATTCAGCTTCATCCCTAACATACTCCTTAATGACCGCATTTCTACAGCATTTATTCTACTCTCATGCTTCTTCTGCCACACCCAACTTTCACTACCATACATTAAAGTAGGTACTAACACAGCATTGTGAATTGCCATACGTGCCTTTTTGGACACATTCTGACTTTTCACAATAGAGTGTAGAGCCCCATTCACTCTATTTCCTGCATTCACTCGTCGTTCTATATCCTTATCATATCTACCATCCCTGCTAAACACACATCCCAAATATATAAACTCATCTACTTGCTCTACCAACTCCCCTTCTATTCTTATTTCACATATCGTTTTACTTTCTTCTCTTTCAAAAACCATAACTTTCGTCTTACTTGCGTTCACTTTCATTCCCTTTTCTTTTAATGTCCTGTTCATTAATGTAACCATCATTTGCAACTCGGCTGCCGACGACGCAAGTATGACTTGATCATCGGCGTACAAAAGGCATTTGACGGTTAACTCACCCATTCTTAACCCGCATTCTTCTACTTTCAAATTTTCCAAACAACTGTCCATAAACAGGTTGAACAACCACGGGGAAGCCACACAGCTAATAACAATAAATGATTAATTGTTAAAAGCATGATTAAAGTACTTTCATGTTGAATCACAGTGTATTAATGATTGTTTTATACAAACTCACCAAGTTAAATGTTATTTAAAAATATCATAATATTATTTGAAGATAGATTATGAAAAAAAAAAAAATTTGCTTTAACAAAACACAAATTAGTATCAGTAACGTCGAATGTAGCTTTTTTTCAAAAAAATTAACAGCTTTTCATTTATAGCTTTTACTATCAAAAAATGCGAGACGACAAACGAAATTAAAATTTTTACATAGATGGCGTGGTATTCCATTCGTCATATTAACCTTTAATCACTTTGCCTTGTGTAACTATTTTACATTAATGACATACAGTTAAAAATACATTACCCATACATTTATTCGCACATTAATACACCTTGGACAAGAAGTAAACAGTTCAATCTCGCTTCTTGCTAAGTTCTTTGCGAATGGTAATCAGTGGCGAGCTAGCCAGTTTTGCTTAATAAACGTAGGTATAATGACGATGAGATTTCTAGATTCATAAAGAAAGTTGCAAGGCAAAGGCGGTGGCGAATGAAGGCGCCGACACCGGGGTCAACGACATGGCGTTACGAGAGCACTGTTACTTTCAAAGGTCGAGCGAGGTGCAGGACGGCCTGTTAAGCGACCTGTGATAACGCACCGGCTAATGAAAGTCCCAAATTTAAAGGTAAAATGGTTACTTGATTATCTTTATATGTATAATTCTTCTGTCCGTGTATATGTGACTGAACTCCTAAACGGCTGGACCGATTTTGATGAAAATTATGTGTGCGATTAAGTTAATTCGATGAATGGTTTAGATTCACAATTGAACCCGGCAGGTGACGCTATTGTCGAGATCCACGAATACCGGTACGAATACGGTGCGGGTCGCTAGTTTTATATTAAACTTGTAAAGACGGCATTTAAAAGCTAACACATTTTGTTTTGACCTCTTGAAAAAGCGTGATGCCTTATGAGCGATGCTACCTTTTAATGAGTACCTATGGAATGAAATACAGTTTCATAGTTGCAAGTCTGTGGTCGTTCTACAAGTTACATTTGACAGAGTAAAAACAGGAAATGAACACGACTCCCTGTTTCGCCGTTACACTATCGGACATATTTTGGGACTTATTTACTTATTGTACATGATTGATGTGACCTGGAAGCGTAAGATGCATACTTGTAATATTTTCATTATTGGAATCACGACTTGACATCGCCGAAAAATGCCATGAAAGAAGGTTGCGTGAATATGCACACTTAAAGCTCCGTTCTCCAAACTACATCGGAATCAGAGCCTCTGGCCTAGTCTCTGGGCCCGAGAATAGGCAGGCAGAAAATGAAATGGGCGGATGTGTTCAAAACTTAACTGAAGTTGATGTCTGGGACAGAGCGAAGTGGAAGCGAAAATCTGAAAGGCAGTCCCCATCACCACGGGAGAATAATAAATAAGAGAGGGCAATCACGACCAATATTTAGACCCAAAGAAAATTTGAAAATAGTTATATATTATATATATATATATTTGTATGTATAGTTAATTTACTATCAATAACGAATAAACAAATGATGTGTAATATTATGGGAATGTTACTTACAGCTCCTCTCGTTGCCGTTGTGACAACACCATTTTCATCGTGGTCGGGTGACGCTTGAGGCGGCGGGCCCGGGAGGTTAACTGCACTAGAGTCTTATTCGTTCACGCGGGCGACGGCAGGAACGCCGTTGCCATTATTACACCTGTCAACAATGAAGGACGAGACATCACAAAATCTGCCTTTTAAATACTGGATTTTAAATTAAACAGCACAATGAATATAATTTATTAATTTTCTAATTAAAACATATTTACCCTAATATTAATTGTTTTTATAGGAAAGGGTAACAAATGAGCACACAATCCACCTCATGGTAAGTTGTTGCTGTGGCCCATAGACATCTACATTTATCCTCGTTTAAGAATCAAAATGCAGATATATGCATTGTCACTTGTGAGGTCTAAGATGGAATGTGTAGTTTCCATTAAATCTCATTAAGTCTCCGGTTTTCTACACTCACCGTACGAAACACAGCAGCAGTAAGCTGCTATTTTACGCTGGTATTCTGTGAGAGTATGGTCCTCTCCCGGTCGAGCCGACCCATTTTTGCCACAACTATAACAGTAATATAGCTGCAGCAAGGCTCTACCAAGTAAAATGTAAATAAATTAAGACAAGCTAATTCGTCCAGCAGCGTCTTCCTAATAACAATTAAAAATAAAATACTGCAGTTGTCAAACCGCTTGCTAAGCATGGAAAACTATGGCAAATATCCCAATGAGGCAATCTATGAATTATGTGATTCTATGTTTAACCCTGGTTTTACATAACAATACTGTGCAATGTTGTTATATTATAAAAGCCCAGTAAAGGGAAAAAATATAACAATGAAACAATTTCTTTTAAGACATAGAACTAGATAAAATAGCTCTTGTGGTGTACATAAAAGGAATCAACTTGTTTACGCTGTTTATAGTGCACTTTAATAAAAATGGACCAAATATAAAAATTGTAAAAAATAGTATAAATTGAACACTAAATAAATATATTCACCCCTAGTTCTCATGATTCAAACTAGCACACATCTACATTAGATAATCTTACCATTACATAAACTTTGTATTATAATATTAATGTTGTAGAATGAAATAGAAAATAATAATTATTGAACACTATATTACAATGCAAATACAATATAAAATATAATACAATGCATTTTCATACAAACACATTTTGAATTTAAAAGATGAAAGGGACAGAATGATTGAGTTTATTTTTAATTAATTTTTCTCCACCATTTGCTTTTATTCATTATATTTATAATATAATGTTACTTTTAACTACTTAATACTTAATGTTTTAAATTATGAATACCATTTAGCTAGTTTTATTCTTTTATATTTTTAATTTTTATACAACATAATATTGTGGTGGCAAGCTTTTATTATGTATGTAGATATCTGTGGAAACTTCATTGGTTTTTAGGATTACTTTTATATGTTTTATTGTGTAATTTATTATTGTACTGTATGTTTCCCTTAAAAAGCAAATAAATAAATAAAAAATAAATTCCTTAAAATACTGAACCTTCTCTACAAATTTGGTCAGTTATTGCAAAATATCCCTGTATGATAATTAATTTATTACATAATATGTTTTAGTTGTAGTAGTAAGTTACAAGGGCAGGTCAAAAAGGTCGTGCAATGGAGGGGTTAGAGAGGGAAGGGGATTTTTAATATCACTACTTGGTGACTCAATACAGCTATCAATACTGAGTTTCAGCTAGATAGGTTCATTAACCTTTATATATCTAGACACTACATGATAAACAACTTATCGGGAAGCGAACACTAACTATGTAGAAAATTGAGTTTCGTACCGTGATTAAGTTCCTCAATAAGATAGAAAAACATGTACTCTTACCCTCTAAAAACTATGACTTATAAGTGGCATAGCCTTTTCAAGCAAGGTAGAAACTCAATTGAATATTAGCACTCAGGCCAACCGATTGAGGCAGTTTCCTTACACATTGTAGAAAAAAGTAAAGAGAGTAAAGATACTCCTCTGAAGAAAAAACAGATCACAGAAATTACTGTATCATCTACTACTGTTTCAAACATTCTCCACAACCATCTTGGCTTTTCTAAGGTCAGTGCAATATGGGTGCCAAGAATACTCACACTGCTTCTGGGAGTTTTTGGACCTGGGTAGTGAGAACAGGTACTAAATTATGAACTGAATTGTGACTTGGGATGAAACTTGGATTCATCACTATGAACATGAGTCAAAGCAGGAGTCTATGCAGTGGCATAAAAAAGGTACAGCACCGTCAGAGAAGTTCAAGGTGTTACAAACGTCTGGCAAGATTATGGCTTCAGTTTTTTTGTATTCATAAGGGATTTTATTGATCCATTATAAAGATAATGGTGTCAATATCACTGGACAGTATTACACTATGCTACTAGAAAAATAAAAGATGTGGATTAAAGAAAAAAGAAGGGGAAAGTGGTCTCAAGGTGTGCTCCTTTTGCACGACAACACACCCTAAACAAGAGCCATGTTGCAATGGCTTTCTTACACAAGTGCAGCTTCGAAACTTTCCCATAGTCCAGTATTTGCCCTTCAGATTATTTTTTGTTCCCAAATATGAAAAAAGAGCTTCAGGAGAAATTTAAAGATAACAAAGAAGTAAAGTCAGCAATTTCTGCCTATTTTCAGGGCAAAACATTTTTTTTTCGAAGGTATAAATAAGTTAATTGAACAGTTGGAGAAGTGTGTTAAGAGTTAATGGAAAATATATCAAAAAGGCATAATAATTTTATGTTTAATTTCATCTCCTTTTCTTTCCATTTTGCAAAGTTATTGACCTCCTCTAGTATAAGAAGTTATAATTTATATTATGTGTATACATTTAAAGGAACAATAGGATGTTTGTCCTTGTGCAATATATGTTTGTAAACTGCCTCCACGATACAGGAGAAAATCCTAGTGTGGGGGTAACGTTTTTTTAAAAAGAACAAAAAAAAAAAAAAAAAAAAAAAGAATATTTTATAAAGGAAAACTGAACTGTAAAATATTTAGCTTTATGCAAATTACTATGAATATAGGCAATAACCGCCTGACTCATAAAATCAATGTCAATTTAAGAAATGCTTGAAGTTACTCTCTTTTTATTTAATGGAATTTTTATAAAGAGACAAGTATAAAGATAGTCATTACTTCATATTAAGTTTTAAATATTTTTTTGTAATCTTGCCTATGTGAACACCATATGGCAATTTTGTAATTTCCTTTTGTAACTTTTTAGGTTTCTCACTGACCAATTAAGTTTCCTTATGGCTTCTTTAACAAGCCTAATTTATCTTTGTCCAGTTGTATGATGAATTAAAACTCACTAATATGTCAGTTTTATCTTTTAAAAATCATTGACACTCCATCCATTACAGCCTAGCAAGTCTACTGCTGAACATAGGCCTTCCCCATAGATTGCTTCATAGGGGAGGATTAGCCATAGTTGCCAAACTCGACAGTCTATTTGGCAACTGCAGTTTTTGGAGTAAAAACTTTTTTAGCATCCTTGTGATCTTACAACTCAATGAAACAAAAAAGAGACACTAAAAAGAGACAAATATATAAATCTACATATAGGCCTACGAGAGAATGAGATAAAATCCATAATTAAAATAATAAAGCAGAAGAGGTTCATTTTTATTTAAACAAACTAATCTCTGCAACCACCAGTCTGATTTAATAAATGTATAATAGTCTGATTCACAAGGAATAGTATAGGCCAGGGATGGTGAACCTTTATGTATTAATGTGCCATTTTTCTAAAGAAATGTTTAATGATGCCATAAAATATTTTTATTGTGGTAAAATAATTTTTACTTTGAGAATACCACTGCGCCCGATCACTCCGTAGCATAGGATTACTCATGTTCATTCATAATATAATACTTCATAGTGAACTTTGTGATCGGTGGTGTGCCCAAAATATTGTGTCACATGCCATTGGTTCACCATTCCTGGTATAGGCTATCTATACCAGGAATAAGCTAGCATTAAGCTACACCTCTCAACTAGCCTTAAATATTGATTTTTGTTAAGCAAATCGAAAGAAAAGCGCTCCTGAACTGCTTTATTCGCATGCACTCGCATAATGGTTAGTGATACTTAAATACTATGTTCTACAAAAATATAGATCTCTCCACCATCTAAAAAAAAGTCCGTGATACCATAGGTCTATTTTCTTATACATAAGCCACAATAAGGTATTTTGTCAAAAAAACAAATATAAAAAGTGATTTATGAGCAATTTATTAGGCAAGGCATATTAATCCTTATGAATAAATGTTATTTCATCATCATAACAATTTTATGAATTATAAAATAGAGATGAGAAAATTCTTAGTTAATATTAGACCCAAAAAATATTATATGTGTATGCCATCTAGTGGGGGCATAGGAAAATCCATTACTCCATAACATCCCTTGGGTGTCATAAGAAGCAACAAAAGTAAACTAAAACAGGAGATAGGCAGCGCATCTTCCTTATAACAACTCCATAAACAAGTGGTAAAATTAAAAATTTTGTACAACCAACTTCAATATTAATTAAATGAGAACATCATCAATGTAGTCGAAGTCAATTAAATATGCATTATTAACTCAAAACTACTGGTCAAATCTTGATCAAATTTATATGGGACTATATGGGACCATATGAGAAGCACTGGCTTTCAAACAAAAAAGAATCGTCAAAATCAGTTCACCTAGAAAAAAGTTCTGAGATACACATAAAAAAATACAGACCAATTGAGATCTCCTCCTTTTTTGAAGTTGGTTGAAAATCTGCAGTTGCCAAACTGCCTATGAGGTAATCTTTGGGAGGTTTATGTTAAGCAGTGGATTTCGACAGGATGATGATACTAGCTAATTAATTATTAATGTTAATAAAATTAATTTCAGTAAAGTAATGCCTTATTTTATTCATATTTCTAGAACTATGGGAGTTTTAAGGTTTTTTCATTAGTATGTCTCATGTGAAATAAAATTCGGAAGACAAGTAGGATGTACCGAGCAAATAATCAAATTAAATTCGACACTAATGCAACATGCGTACTTAAATGTTACAAATCTTGCTTTTATTTGGAGCATCAAAAACATTATTTGTTGAAGTATCTCTTGCTACGTTTCATAGGTAAGACTGTTAAATAAAAACATATATATTATAATATTAATTACTAGAAATTCTCTGATAGGTGAAGGCAAAGAACAATGATCTCTGTGAATAAAAATGGTTTGCGCGAAAATAAATAATACAAAATTCAAGAAGCACTGCAAGGAAATGACTCAGAAATTAAACGTCAAAAATCATAGTGTCATTTTGCCACATCAACGAAAGAAAGAACATAATCGGATTCAACAAAATACACGAAAAATTGGCAATTTCTACATCATATTACAAGAACCCGTTAGAAGTAAAAGTAAATAAAATATTGAAATATCAGAACGGCCATATTGAACCGTAACACCTAACTGAATAAGAGATTGCCTTTTTGTTCTAGTTTCTTTTATATCTTTAACAACTTTAAAAGGTGAAATCATACTTACAATAAGCAAAAACACTCAAATTTGCACTTTTCCTAAATAAAAACCACACACAGTAAAACACACTTCACACAAGACCCAAGGCAGAAAACCGTTTTCGTTGCAATGGCTCAAAATCACTCAATACAAGTCCATGGCGAGTTTCGATTCGATTTTCCTTTTTTTCTTTTCATTTTGAACGGAAAAGCGCCATCTATACTCCACATAAAACACCAAAGCTATTTTTTGCACCCACAGATATAAAATAGAATCAGTCAGTGTTGCAACATTAACATCAAAGAAAGAGATTCATGATAGGTTAAGACTGTGAGTTAAGAACTACATAACACTTCATATTAGTTTGTATTAAGACGGATAAACAAAAAGAAAGAATAGTTAGGGGCGGCCCAGGGCCTAAGAAGAATAAGATGAAGACATTTGATGTTTAACAAGATTGTGCATTAAAAACGAGTTCGAGCGAGATAGCGCTAAAGAGCATTACGTCCTTTTCTACGCAAGTAACTATACGATTTGGTATTGTTGGACTTATGACGGACTTGTGTGCCAATACTTAGTATCCAAAACGTGTACAGGGCCTATAACATGTGTGCGATGTAGTAGACGAAAACTTATGTTCACAGATTAAAAAAATAAAGGCAAAAAAAGTTTTAAACATTTAATTTTGAATTATTTCTTAAGTTTTAAGCCTCATCATATAGAGAAAGTCCCGTCAAAATGATTTTAGACGTTTCGAAGATAACGGAACAATTCTTTAACAACATTTTTCGTCATTTGTGAGAAAAGACTTTGCTGTATCTTTACCTTCTTAGGTCGTAGTTCGTCTAATGAAGTCAACGCTACGTCCCCTTCGTGCTCTGTTTCAGAGTCCCGAAACCTTTCAGCTCAAGTTACAAAACCGTTTTCAGTGCCTAGAAGACTGCAATGAAGTGGACGGTATGAATGACAAGCTCGTGGAGACTGTCCATGCGGTCGGAGCTAAGTTCTGCAAGACCCGCCGCAGAAGAACATAAAAACTCTCCGATCACACTCTCAACCTCATGGCTGTTAGACGGGAGAAGAAGCTACATTTTTCAACAGATTTGACAGCATACAGGCAACTGAACAGACATCTCCAAATGCATGCGGCGCGGTACTTACGCAACTTCAATACTGCTCGTATTGAAGAAGCGATCGAGCGGAACCAAGGCTCCAAAGTCTTTGCCAGAGATCTGACTGCCAGAAAGAGCCAACTGTCAAAGCTGAAGACAGAGTGTGGCAGCATCGTTTCCGGGGCACCTGAGATTTTGAGTGAGATTGAGAGGTTCTATCATAGAACCTCTCAATCTCACTCATAATAATATAGAACTTCTATGGGCAGCTGTACACGTCATCGTTGGAACCACATGCAAGTGTGAGTAACGATCCAAGAGCGAGTCTTATCCGACACTATTCCGAAGATATCCCGGACGTCAGTCAGAGCGAGATTAGAATGGCTCTCCAGCACCTTAAAAACGGCAAGGCTCCCGGCGAGGATGGAATTACAGCAGAGCTTCTGAAAGCGGGTGGAAGACCGGTACTTGAAGTCCTTCAGAAGCTCTTTAATTCCGTCCTCCATGGTGGCATTACACCGGAGGCGTGGAGCAAAAGCGCGGTGGTCTTGTTCTTCAAGAAAGGTGACAACGCTCTCTTGAAGAACTACAGACCGATTTCCCTTCTGAGTCGCGTCTACGTGTTGTTTTCGAGAGTCATTATGAATTGTCTCGCGCGCAGACTTGACGTCTTCCAGCCTCCTGAACAAGCCGGTTTCCAAAAGGGCTTTAGCACCATAGACCACATACATACCCTTCGGCAAATTGTACAGAAGTCCGAAGAGTACAATTTCCACTGTGTCTGGCGTATGTGGACTATGAGAAAGCCTTTGATTCCGTCGAAATTTGGGCGGTGCTGGAGTCCTTTCAGCGGTGCCAAGTTGACTGTCGGTATATCGAAGTGCTGAAGTGTTTGTACAGTAGAGCTTCGATGGTTATCCGAGTACAGAACCAGAGTACGAAACCTATCCAATTGCAGAGAGGTGTAAGACGGGATGATGTTATATCCCCGAAACTCTTCATCGCTGCATTGGAAGAGGTTTTCAAGCACAAGGACTGGAAAGGATACGGTATTAACATCAATGGCGAGTACATCACTCACCTTCGATTTGCCGACGATATAGTCCTTATGGCAGAATCACTGGAGGACCTAAGCACCATGCTCAATGACCTCAATAGTGTCTCCCAACGAATAGGTCTTAGGATGAACATGGACAAAACAAAGATCATGTTTAATGTCCATGTCACACTTATGCCGGTAATTGTTGGGGGCACTAAGCCCGAAGTTGTTGACGAGTATGTTTACCTGGGACAAATAGTCCGAGTAGGAAAGTCCAACTGCGACCGAGAGGTCAATCGACGGATTCAACTCGGCTGGGCAGCGTTCGGGAAACTACGACACATCTTCTCGTCAGAAATGCCTCAAAATCTTAAAACGAAATTGTGCAACCAGTGCGTGTTGCTAGTGATGACTTACGGATCTCAGACGTGGTCCTTCACTGCTGGCCGTATGAGGAAGCTCAAGGTCGCTCAGCGAGCTATGGAGAGGGCTATGCTCGGAGTTTCTCTGCGTGATAAACTTAGAAATGAGTATATCCTCAGTAGAACCAGAGTAACCGACATATCCCAACGGATTAGTAAGCTGAAGTGGCAGTGGGCCGGCCATATAGCTCGAAGAACCGACAACCGATGGGGAAGAAAGGTTCTTGAGTGGCAGCCTCGTACCGGTAGGCGAAGTATAGGGCGACCCCCCACGAGATGGAGTGACGACCTGGTAAGACATGCAGGAAGTCGATGGATGCAGGTGGCTCAGGGCCGTGATTTGTGGCATTACTTGGGGGAGGCCTATGTTCAGCAGTGGACTTATGAAAGGCTGTAATGATAAATGATGAGGTCGTAGTTCCAATTATGTATCAGGAGTAGCATTTAGCTGCGATTTTGTAGCGTAAAACTGCTCGGTACATGAACATTTTTACTATCAGGTACTATCTGAAATTAAAAACAAGTTGATATTTTTACTCAATAAACATCTAACAAACACCTAATTATTTAAGATGTGTTTTTTTACATTGTTATCTCAAACATATTGCTTTCCACTAATTACACATATCTATATGAAATTTCAATGTATAATTGCATAGGGATAATGTGTAGTTTATATAATGAATTGCTACCAGAACACTAGGATAGCCTAGATATATTTAGTTTCATCTTATCCAAATCTAAGAATAATGATTGGCATGATAATATGACAATAATAATTCAGTTATCGTTTCATTTTTATGAATAATATATTCTACCTGCAGTGTACATGCAACAATGTAGTCTATTATAGTGAAATTACTTTTGGAATCGTTCATCCCCCTACATACAAACTCACAAACTAACAAATTTTACCTCTTTATAATACCTGTACAAAGCATCGATAAATTAAATAATCTCCTATAAACTTATATTTTGACATCACTTTTTTATAGAATGGGGGTGACAAACGAGCACACAGTCAGTCAGAACACCTGATGATAAGTAGATGCTGTGGCCCATAGACATCTACACATTTATTCTCGATTGAGAATCAAATGTAGATGCGTTGGAAAACTTGAGGACTAAGAGGAAGGAGATGCCTCGTTTCCATTTAAAAGGGTCTCCAGTTATCTACAGTCACCATACGGAACGCTATTTTAAAAAATGTAGCAATTATAAACAATAATTTAAAGTTGAATGAGCTACATCAGAACTCCCGCCATACGAGTAAAAATACTTTCTTATATTTGCAATCTTTTGACAAAGAAGTAATCCAAGTAGTTAGATTTTCTGTTTAGCAGGGTAATTATTAATAATTTGACGTTATACTAAAGGAACTGACTTAATTATTGTGCGGAATCCAATTGTCTAGTGCACTATTTTCTTTTATTTTTAATATCTTTGGGGGTGGCCACAAACGCATAGTTTTTGACGTGTCGTTTTGCCCCGATACTCTACCTCACAAACCAATAAGAAGTGCTAGCGCACTCTACCTATTCCTTTACACTTATACAATAAATTAAAAATCATAGATTTCTAACTACGTTAGAATAGATTGGCAATGCAACAGAGAAAGAACACAGTGTATGCGTATGTTATAGGAGTGGGCTGTAATAGGTAAAATCGCATATCTGTTCCGCCTGCTCCAGTTTAACTTAAATAAAAGTTCCAAAAACCTATTACTAAATAGCAGTCTGTTACTACAGTTTTGGTAGGTACTTTTCTTTCTAAAGTGTTGAACCTATGCTAGAAAAGGAAAGAGCTTGTGACGAGTAACAGGGTGTTACATAACATTTTTATCTTATTCTAACAAGGGTAACCATTATATGTGAGAATAAAGAAAAACTGGTATGACTATCCATTGACTCCCATCGAGTTGGGGGTTGATACGTATTTTTACAGAAAAGTTACACTATTATAAGCACACACACAAAGTTACAATATGCGGAAGCGCGTAATTTTTGAGAAAAAAGTTATTGAAAATCAATTATTCTTGCATTGTTTATGCCTAATCCTACAATAAAACTGACGCCATTTTTTTATTGTTATTAACTAAATATTAAACTAAACTAACTGAATATTTTTCGAAACGTATAAAAAAATATTTTGATAGAATTGGGGTGAGAAACGTGCACACAGTTCACCTGATGGTAAGCGGTAAATGATTCAAAATAGTAAATGGAGAAGAATTGCAGCAAGGCATATAGTAGATTATTTTCTTTTGGTGTTCTTCATACTTTGAAGAAAAATGTTTTTCTCATAGAAGTACATACTGTGTAGTGGCGGTATAAGAATATCCACTATCCCATATCATCCCGTGGGTGTCGTAAGAGGTGACAGTGGAAACAAATTAGGAGATGGGCATCGGAGGCTTCGTAATCACGACTAAAAATAAAAAAAACTGCGGGTGCCAAACCCACTTGCCAAGCGTGGTAACTATGGCAAATATCCCTCCTATGAGGTAATCTATGGGGGAGGTCTTGGTTCAGCAGTGCACTTTAATTGGCTCTAACAGTATCATAGAGGTGCATTAAGCAATAAGAACACGTCCATCTATAA